CCCCCCCCGGTCTTCTTGGAAAAAGAAAGTCCTTTGTACTAGTAGGTAGGGAAGAACATCTGCACGGCAGGAGACTCGGTGGCACTCTGGGCAGAAAATACTGGATTGCTTCCAACTGCAATTTTCATGCAATAGAGCATTTATTCCCCTACCCTTGGCACTATGCCTTTAAATCCCACTTTTCTCCACACTACGCTGTAAGGGCTCTCTTGGTAGAAAAGGGAAAGTCTCTGCTTCTCTCCCAGCCCCAGCTCATACTTATATCTAGGACTCCTGAAATCTCAATCTCTTCCCTAGTTAGAGATGACGTGTGTCAAAGAGGATCTTTGGGTTTAATTGTCAGTCTTCTAGCTCTGGAATGCGCTGAAGATAAGTGAGAGTTTACTAACATACATCTGGATGGTCTGCATTGCAGACCAAAGGATTTCTGACACTGAATACTTTAACAAGTGCAAGTTATAGCAATTTTTTTTTTAATCTCAGCTGCAGGTGGCCCTGTTTATTTCTTAGCCTCAATGTTCCACATCTGTAAAATGGGAATATTTACTGGTGAGCCCCAGAAAGGGGGGGATTGGGCAACCCATTGACCACTGAGAGAGTCTGAAGCTAGGTTCCTTGAATTTACAAACAACAGCTGCTCATGGAGTACAGAAAACAATCAAATCCACTATTTCTTTTCTTCCCAATACCCTATTCCGGCTGGCTCAATTGGTGGACACTGAAGTTTTACGTATGAAATAAATATTGTGGATCTTCCAAGTGAGAAGATTGCCCATTCTAAGTCTAGATGCTAATAAAATTGATCTTGAAGTCCAAGTTGCAGACAGAGAGGGCAGAAATATTTACTGTACCTCTTTAGCTTAAATTAATTTCTTATGGGACAGCCAGTTTGGTGTAGAGGTTAAAGGCATCAGGCTAGAAACCGGGAGACCATGAGTTTTAGTCCTGCCTTAATCACAAAGCCATCTGGGTGACCTCGAGCCAGTCCCTCTCTCTCAGCCCTAAGGAGGAGGCAATGGAAAACCACTTCTGAAATCTTGCCAAGAAAACTGCAGGGACTGGGCCAGGCAGTTTCCAGGAGTCAAAACTAACTCAAAGGTACCAAAAAAAAAATGATATGGATATAGAGGGAAACAAAACATGGCTTCAGACCTGTTTAAAGTGGTACAAAGTTAGACCCAGAGGAATATTCATAGGTGTGTGGGCACAGCCAAGTCTTCTCCAATGTCCTGACCTGATGAAACTACATGCTGGAGCAGTGTTTCTCAATCTCAGCAACTTTCAGATGTGTGGACTTCAACTTCCAGAATTCCCCAGCTGGGGAGTTCTGGGAATTGAAGTCCAGACATCTGAAAATTGCTGAGATTGAGAAACACTGCACTGGAGAAGTCATCTTCTCCAAAATCTTGTCCAAAAGGGAAGGGGAAAAAAAAGAGAGATGTAGTTTGACCTCCAGAGCAAACACAAAAGGAGAAGAGGATGCTGGAAAGAGGAACAGGCCAGCAGAAATAAAGTCAATCAAAGCAGAGAATGCAGATAGTGGAATTGTGGGTACAGTCCAACCTGGAAGACTCCTTTAATTTCCCTCTATTGCATCTGTTAAATCTGTAAACTAGAAGCTGAGCTGTCTGCTAATTACTTTTGGTAAACCACTTTGAATAGGTTGCATTTTTTTCAGCTAAACAGTAGGGTAAAAGTGCTTTCCATTTTAAAAATAACCTAGAATTCCAGTTTGCAGATTCTGGAAGCTGTAATCCCAACATGTGTGAAGGGCTACAGGTCAGAGAACTCCTGGTCTGCTAGTTTCATCAGGTTACGGCACACAATGTGTGAACAGTTTTGTGCACTCCCTTCCTAAAAGTATCCTTTGTCCCGAGCAATGCAGCACTGAGCTGTCTTGGGAAAAGCTAAGTAGGTTAGTACTTGGATGGGAGACCAAAAGGAAATCTCAGGGCTGCAGATTAGTCTGGGAAGTAAAAAGTAAAATAAATTTCCAGAAAGCAAGAGTAGTAGATCACTTCTGTTTTGCCTGCAAGAAAACTGCATGCTGATGAAGGCCCCAGGAGCTACGCTCAACATGAAGCATCCCTGCTTTAGGTTATAATCAACTCCTTCTAAGAAAAGCCCCCTTAGATCCAACTGTCTTAACTGCCCTTGAACATTCAGGCTCTACTGAAACAAGATTACAGCAAGAGCACCCCCCCCCCCAGCAATGTCCCACAAAGGGAGGAAGGGCACGCAGCTGCCTGCAGCTGAAAAGAGCCCTTGCTTGAAACCCTGCCGATTGGCTGCTAGTGAGTGGCTCAGTTCACACAACCCATTGAACGAGCTAAGGGAAAAGACCCAGAAGGTGCATTTCCACAATGAGATCTTTACATTTTGTGAAACCCAGTTAATCTGCCTCTTTTGTGGTTCAATGTTTTGTGCAAACCACAAAGGTTAATTTATTGATCGGGTTACATAAGTTGCGTGAATACAGCCACGTACACCACTCTTCCACAAACAAGTGGCCTCTGGGCCTTTTGGACTATATTTCCTACAACCATGGAGGATTATGAGGGCATGCTCACAACAACAACTAAACTGCAACCTAATTAACAACCTTTGAGCCTAGTGTGTTGTGCAAAGAAAGCCTCGTGGTTTGTGTGGTTTGGTGCATTGTGCAAACGCTCGAAACTGGCTCCATTGAGCAAATCATCTCTACGTTAACCACAGATGTGTCATGCAACCATACCGTGAGAGTTACAAGCCAGCCCATTGGGGGGCTGAAGATCAGACAAGGCTGGGGTAGACAATATTAAGCTAAATAGCCATGAAAATCAAGCAGCTTCTTAAGCTTCTAGTCCCCTGGAAAAGACTGCAGATCAGCACCCCTCTTTTGCACCCCAAAGCAACCCACAACCCTTGTATTGCCAGATGGGGTTTCTCAAAATAGTGCCTTAGTTCGGGACAATCCCTTGAAGTATGCAAGAAAAAGATCCGGGTCTGACTGAAAATAAAGCAGAATCCTAGAAGAGGGACAGCCAGTCTCCTCTGCGCCCCCTACGGAAGAGAAAGCCCTCCCAAGGAGGCTTTGCTTTCAGGTGGACTTGCACTAATTTGAACCGCAACCTTTCACTCACACAACACGCCACAGCCAGGTCTGCCCAACGCACTTAACGCGGCAAAGGAGTAAACCCGTTTGCAGGCTTCACACAATAGTTAACCAAGTTAACCGAGTTAAACCGGACATGCCCCCAAACCCCAGCCAAACCGACCGCGCCGGCAGAATGCAACACCCAGATCTGGCACAGGGCTGGCAAAGCAAGTCGTCTGAACCCATCTTCCCCTCCGTCTCCCCTTCCCAGAACTGGATGGCTGTGGCTGATGGCCTTCGTAGCCCTACTTACCTCGAGGATACCCGCCTGGGGGGAGGGGGCTGAATGCAGGCTCGTGTCCTCTGCCCCTTCTTTTGACCCCCCAACCCTCTTA